TAAAACTACTACTAAAACTACTACTACTACTACTACTACTACTACTAACACTACTACTACTACTACTACTACTACTACTACTACTACTACTACTACTGAAAGGACAAAGAAGACCGACGAAAAGGACAGAACCCAAACCCCGAAGCCCTAAACGCCTTTCTCACCACGGACTCGACTGCTGCCCCTCCCAAACCCTGAACCCTGAACCCCTAAACCCCTAAGCCCCGAAACCCCAAACCCCTTTTTCAGCACGGACTGCCGTGCCGGCCAGCGCCCATGCAACCCTTAAGGCAAGAGACCCCAAACCCCTAAACCCCAAACCCCGAAACCCCTAAACCCTGAACTCATAAACCCTAAACCCCTGAACCCTAAACCCCGAAACCCCGAAACCCCAAAACCCCAAAACCCGAAACCCCAAAACCCAACTCCCGAACCCTAAACCCAACTCCCGAACCCACGTCTGCCTGGCGCCTTGCAGCTGCTGTTCCAGAGCTTTTAATTCCGCGGCCCGGTCGTAGTCCTTCGGGCTTAGGGCTTATATTAGGGTTCGGGGTTTAGGTTTAGGGCTTATATTGGGGTTCAGGGTTTCGGTTCAGGGCTTGTATCAGGGTTCAGGGTTTAGGTTTAGGGCTTACATTAGGGTTCAGGGTCTAGGGCTCAGGGTTTAGGGTTTAGGGCTTGGGGTCTAGGGTTTACGTTTTGCAATTCGGACTCCGCCAGACGAGGTCTCTGGGTCCAACCACGCCATCTCGACTACTCTCTGAGGCAGCAATCACGGGTTTAGGGTTTAGGGCCTACAGTTTAGGGTTTTGGGTGGCCCACAGTCAGTCTTGCGTCGGATAGCTTGCGAGAAGGGGGCAACGATCAAGCAACTTGCTCTAGGTTCCCATGTGGTTCTTCTCAGGGCTGGGGTGCTGGATGCTTGGAGCCAGGCGTGCGGCACAACCCAGCGGATGGGGCACATAGAAATTTGGGAATTATGGTATATTCCTTAATATTCCTTATTATGGGTAATGCAGGAGTTATATCATCAGCCGTAGTATAGTCCCTAAACCCTAAACTCTAAACAGCTATTTTGCCATGCAGTTCTGAGGCCATCAGATCCTCGCACTCGACCGCTTCGCGCTTCTGCCGCCGAACCTGCGCTCACAGAAAGGCATCCACTCAGTGTCGTATGCTTCTGCAGGATGCAACATCGAAGCCTTCAAAGTTTGGACCTCGCCACTTCGAATGTAGTAGGCCGGCATGCTGCTTAGTGCGACTGTCGTAGCCTCCATCAATCAGCATTTTCACATAACGAAGGAACAGGGTCATGGCCCGCACGTGGCAGGAGGCTGCGACATGGGGCTCGACAGACTGAGACTGGTGAGTTCCAAAACCACGGCCTCGCACCTCAGAGTTTAGGGGTTGAGGGGTTTTGGGCTAAGGAGTACTGCCTGCCGCTTTAAGCAACGTCACCCAAGAAACACTGCCTCCCCCAGGCCCGTTTGCAACCAAACCCCAAAAGCCTCCTCCAACTGCGCAGCATCAGCGGCTTCGGAGGAGTCAGGGCCCTGTCGGGTCACGCTTTGATCTTAGGGTTTCCACAACTAGCCACTCAATCTCAGATTTCCAGTGTTTTTGCTTGAACGTCTCTTTTCTGTCTCGCATGATCCGCCCAGCGGAAAACCGCTTCCCGGATCATGCGAGATTTACAGGGTTTTGAGTTTACGCTCTCGCAACTCGGACTCAGCCAGGCGAGGTCTCGGTCCACGGCTGAATTTCGATGGTTAGGGTTTTACGGTAGTTTAGCGTTTTGACTTTTTGCCTCCTACTACGCGTCGCGGCCAGGATACTGCTGGTTTCGGCGCTCCGGCAGGGGCCTTCCGCAAAAAATGCCAAACTCTCCAAAACACTGTACTGAAAGACTGGCTCTGGCTGAGATGGACTTAAGCCCTAAACCCTAAGCCCAAAACCCTAAACCCTGAACCTGACAAGCAGGTCTCCTGACAGAGCGACTTGGCGTTCTCCAGGCGTCGGAGGACATCCGGCTCCAGTGACTTCAGCAGCATTGCGAGGTCGAAGTCCTCCAGCTCTTTGCAAGGTACTGGGCTCTTAGGTCTGGGGTTCGGGTCTACGCTCTCGGAACTCGGACTCCGCCAGACGAGGTCTCGTGTGTCCAACTAGATTCTCCTCTACAAAACTAGTGCGGGGGTTCGGGTTTAGGGTTTGGGGTTCAGGCTCTTGGTTTGAGGTTTTGGGTTTAGGGAGCGACGAAGGCATGACAACCACGGGCGTTCACGGTTTAAGATTCAGGCTCGGCTCAACGCAGACATTTGTCACTGCAGAACCTCCTAAACCCCAAACCCCGAAACCCTAAACCCTAAACTCCAAACCCCAAAACCCTAAACCCTAAACCCCAAGCCCCAAACCCCAAACCCTAAATCCTAAACCCCTAACCCTAAACTAAACCCCAAACCCTAAACCCTAAACCCCAAACGCCAGACCCTAGTCCCTAAACCCCAAACCCTAAACCCCCAACCCTAAAGCGTAAAACTGGAGCCTTCCACTCAAAAGGGCCAAAAACTCGAACCCTGCAACAACAAAAAACAGTTGTAAACGCCCCAACCCGGGAGCTGTTTGGGGTTCAGGGTTTAGGGTTTAGGGCAACAATCAACCCTAAACCCCAAAACCTGGAGAATGTGTTCCCTCCTCCCAGGGCTTTAGGGCTTCTCCTAAACCTCTAGACTCGGACATTCTGAACCGCTCCTGGAACCCCTAAACCCTACTTAATCCCTTAAACCCCTAAACCCCTAGGCCCCACACCCTTCGGTCGGGGAGCCTCTTCATCCACGGCTCTCTTTTTGCAGCACTTCAGGAAGTGATGCTCCAGGAGGCCTTGGCTAAGCTCTACTTAGATCACACACCGTCAAGCTCATGATGACAGCATCCTGGAGCAATGAGGGCTAGGGCGAAGGGCTTAGGATTAATGGCGATGGGGTGGTCGTGCTTTTCTTGGCAACCCTCAACCAACCATAAACACTGTGCACTAAACCTGCACCTTGACATAAGTTTGAGTCTTCAAACTTCTTGCACCTGGAGTTGCGGACCAGCTGCCATGCCAGGACTTTCTGGAACCTCGCCCCGAAACTCGACCCTAGACCGTGAACCTTCACAATCCTAAACCCTAACGCCCTAAACCCTGAAACCAAAACCCTAAACCCCCTAACCCCCAAACCCTAAACCCTAAACCCTAAACCCAAACCCTAAACCCTAAAGCCCTAAACCCCAAGCCCTGAACTCCAAAACTCCAAAACTTTTCACCAACGACTAAGATCCCCAAGCCCTCAGCCTCAACTGGGACCACGGTTTAGGGATAATTCGGGCCCAGGAAAAGGCTCCTTGCTGCGGGTCCATCACACAGGGGCTCCATGGCGGCCGCGGGGAAGAGGACTACTCTACTGAGCCTTTCGGCTTCCTAAACTACCCAGATCCTTGCACCTTGAACCTTCTAACCCCAAACTCCTGAACCATAAAGCTGTGAACCCGAAACCCCTGGGTTTTGCTCTTGAACATAAAACCCACAAACTCGAAGCACTCAAACAGTTGCTCTTGCTATTGTGATTGGGATTTCCGTCCTCAGATCACAAATACCCTGGACCTCAACCCTGACCCGAGCTGCCTGAAGCCCCAAAGTGAAACCAGGCCGCGCCGTGCCCACTGCATGAGGGGGTCAGCGCCCTGCAGGGCTTGGCAGGGCTTATTCCCAGAGGTTCTAAACACCCGTAAACACGAAAATGCCTTAAGTCATATTAAGGTTCCAAGACCTTGCAGGGCCTGGCGGTGCTTACTGATCGAGCTCATGGCTTCTGGCGCCACAAGCTTCGGTTTCAAGTGGCTTATGGCCAGGCAGGTTCAGGCTATGCCGCTTAAGGACCGCATTGCTTGCGATTTGGTGTTCTAAACTCCAAACCTTTTCAAGCCACATTTTTCAAGGATCGAAAACCCGGCAGACTAGTTCAGACTCCATGGTTTAGGATCGGGTCGTGGGGATGCTGAGACTAAACCCTAGATGGGTAGGGTCCCTGTCTAGGTCCTCAATATAGTACGGCACCCTTATAAAAAGGATCCCAAAAGGGACCCTATTTCAGAGAGCTACCCGCATAGTAAGACCCCTTAATGCAGCAACCAGACCAGAGAGAACCAGATTTTTCAGAAGCTCCGAAGGAAAGTCCCCGACCTCAGACGTTCACCTCGGTTTCCTACTTGGGGTGTCGGGTGTTCAGTAGGTAGTTCTCTAAATTAGGGTTTAGGGTTTAGGGTTTGGGTTCTCTAAATTAGGGTCCCTGTAGGGTCCCTTTTTATAAGGGTGCCGTACTATATTGGTGACCTAAAAAGGGACCCCAATTTAGAGAACTACCCATATCCTAAGCTTCGAAATGCGAACCGTATGACTCGAGTCTAGAGAGACAC